AAAGATATACATTTTAAAAGTGAATTCATTGTTACCTTTAGTTTATTTAATATATTATGTATATTATGCACTTCGCCAAAAAGGTGACCCATAGATTAAAATAAATTGAACAAAAGTTGAAACTCTTAATTTTGGTTAAACAATATTTCTGAGTAGGTACCATGTTAAAAATGGCTAAATACATAACATGATTAAGTTTTTTTCAAAACTTATCCATCTTTTTTCCATTATTATTTTGACTAGATATAGGTAGTACTTATATACAGAACTATTTTATATTTGGATATATCATATTTAATTTGTTAATACTAAAATGCAAAAACTATGATTTCTCAAAATTTAGCTCTATAGAGTTATCGTCTTACCATTGCTCAACTAATGATAAATCAATGATAGCTTTAACATAGAGCTTATCCATTAAGAAGTAATAAAGTATCATAAACAAAGCAAATTACCTTACTATCAATCAGGCACAGATCTAGATCAATGATATAGGGCTCTGGTCTCCTAAACCCCCCATGGATTCGTCCCTACCATCAATATTTTTTTTATTTAACAATCCATTTATATACATTAAAAACAATATCTATGTATTTATAATTTTTAATTTAATCTTATAGATAATGAAGCAGTTGTTAATTTACTTTAAATAGTTTTTATTATTTTAGAAAAAAAAAAATTAACTTATTAAAAATGTAGGTAGTACTATGTCTTACCATTTATTAGATATCCATAGGTTTTAGGTAGGCAGTTAAAATTGTAAACAAGTTGCAAAAAGTTTATATAATATTTATATATTTATATAATATTTTTTTAGATATTGAAACTGGTTCATCTGTTCACAAATATACTGAATTTGACTTGGAAACTGAAAAAATAAATGATGATTTTATCGATTGCCAATTAAGTAAAATTAATGCCGATGGTTTTGACAATTATGTTTTGGAGAATGTGCCTGACTCTTCTAATGAAATACTGTTAAATAGTAATTACAATATTTCCATGCTAAATAAATATATCATTTGTATTAACTATTAAATTTGTTCGATAGCTTACAAAACTGTTGCTGATGTTTACGAATACACAAAGGATTTTTCATTGATTAACAAAAGTGAAACAAAAATTGATGAATTCACAGATGGTATTTATAATTTAGAAATAAGATTACATTAAAAAAAAAATATATAAAAATATTTTTTATAATAATTAAAATTAAATACAATTATAATATGGGATTATAATATTTTTTTAGATGTTGAAACTGGTCCATCTGTTAACAAATATACTCAATTTGGCTCGGAAACAGAAAAAATAAACGATTATTTTATCGATTGCCAATTAAATAAAATTAATGCCGATGGTTTTGACAATTATGTTTTGGAGAATGTGCCTGAATTACTAGTAATTACTATATTTGCATGCTAAATAAATATATTATTTGTATAAACTATTGAATTTGTTCGATAGCTAACAAAACTATTGCTGATGTAACTGAATATAACGCAAACTATCCATTGAATGACAAAAAAGACACAAGCATTGAAAAATTCACTAATGGTATTTATAATATTGAAATAAATAGCTGATTAAGTTTCATGAGTATTTTTAGTTTTTACAATATGATAATTTTATTTAAAATATTATGCGGTTCTAAGAACATTGATTAACTTTTTTCAAACTGTACAAGTATAAATATTATGAAGATAATAATAATATAATAAGATTATAACTATTATAAATTCAATGTTTAAATTTCTGAATGGTATTTTCTTTAAAAATTCAAACTCAATTTACTTTATTCATAAAAAATCATTTAACAAATTGATCGCCTAAGTAGCTACCTCATTAATAGTCGAATCATTTTTTTGTAATGAAATATTTTATTTATTTAAATATAAGTATTAAATAAATTGTATTATTAATAATAGGCTATATTTGCATATTGAACATTAATATTTGACATTCCTATGTTTAGGCTAGGATTGTATACAAAATTATTGCTGTCCTTAAATAAATAATAATCAATACTACACCTAGGTTTTAACAATTGAACAATTGTACTATGATATAATATAATTTCTACAATTTGTTTTTTTTCTTTTTTAGAGAGAAGTTCACCTGTAGTTGAAAATAAAAAAAGATATCCTGGTTTAAGAAGAAAAAATATTGATGGTTATGGTTACCCCAAACCGTTGTATGATTCAGATGGTACAATTCAATCAGAATATGATTCAGACTCATCATATAATCCTTACGAAAAACAAGTCAATGAATCATTTTCTTCAAATGACACTCCGAAATCACCAACAATTGAAAACCACCATCCAACAACTTCAAACATCATTCAAAATCATCAAAATGTAGCTAAAGAAAAAATCTTTAATCTTTCAGCAGTTATTGATACTTCGAGAAAAACTGCACTATCAAATAAACGCATTTGGGATAAAAAAGATGTTTGCATTTTTTGTGAAGAAGCAGTTACCAACTTTGTTCGACATTTAAATAGAAAACATAGCGAAGAAATGGAAGTTGCAAAATTGTTATCGTATAAAAAAGGTTCTCAAGAAAGAAAACAACACATAGATCAACTGCGTAAAAAATGAAACTTTTTTAACAATATAAGTGGCACAACAAAGTTAAAACCGGTCAGAAGACCAAATCAATTTGTTAATCAACCTAAGGCCATCGATTACCTGCCGTGCAAATTTTGTTTTGGGTTATTCAAAAAAAATTACTTACGTCGTCACATAAAAATATGTACCCTTAAAAAAGAAGAGTTGGGTAATGTACGTCAAAATATCCAAGCTAATGCTCAATCACTTCTATTAGCCTTTACTTAATTTACAAGCCGATACAAATTTGGTTCAAGATGTTTTTCCAAGAATGACTCCAGATGAAATATCTATGGTCGTGCTGATCCATTGATTCGAGCATTTGGATCGAGGAACCTTAAATGCCATAAGGAAAAACATCTTGTAACAGTTGTCTCTCATAAAATGCGTGAACTTGGTAGACTTTTAATGGCTATGAAAAATTCCAAGAAAAAATGTCAAACATTACTAGACTGTTTAGTACCAGAACTTTTTGATGACATAATCAAGAGTATAAAAATTATTGCCAAATAATTAATATTGGCCTATAATGCCAAAACCGACAAATTTGAAGCCCCATCTTTAGTTTTAAAAATTGGTACATCATTAAAACAATGCTGTGACATTGCGGAATATTTGATCTTAAAGAAATCGCCATTACTTAAATTTAATGAAGACGTTGAAAAATCCATTTTAAAAGTAAAAACCACGGAAAAATTGATTACAAAACAATGGTCTTTTGAACTGTCTACAAATGCTTCTAAAGAAATATATCAAAGAAAATGGAATAAACCAGCATTCATGCCTTTAACTTCAGATATTAAAATTGTTCGTGACTACTTATTATTAGTACAACAGAAATCTTTAGATGCATTAAAAGCTGATCCAACAAATGTAGTTTCATTCAAAGCGCTTCAAGATTCTGTACTTGCACAATTAATTTTGTTAAATCGCAAGCGGGCTGGCGAAGTGCAACGAATTTTTCTTGAAACATATTTGAATAGTTCACCAGAAGCATCCCAGGAAGAAATGCTGTTGTCTTTATCTGAATTAGAACGGGAGCTATCTAATAAATTCAAAAGGCTTGTTATCAGAGGTAAAAGAGGACGAGGAGTTTCAATTTTATTAACGCCAAAACTTCAAAAGTCCTTGTCAATACTTTTATCACTTCGCGAAAAATTTTGTTCAAAACAAAACGAATATTTGTTTGCAGTTTCTAATACACATAATAGCTGTATAAGAGCATCAGATGTTATGCGAAGAATGGCTATTGAAAGTGGGGCAAAAAATCCAGTATCCCTAACATCAACTAAATTAAGAAAACAAATTGCTACGGTTGCACAGCTTCTGAGTTTTAATGAAGGGGATGTTGAGCAACTTGCAAATTTTATGGGACATTCAAAAGAAATCCATAAAACATTTTATCGTCTTCCGGAAAACATATACCAAGTGGCTAAAGTAAGCAAATTGTTGCTAATGATGGAGAAAGGAGACGCAAATGAATACAGGGGTAAGAACTTAGATGATATCGATATCAACATTGATGGGCTTATATCTGAAGAGAGTGATAATGAAAATTCTGATTTAAGCGAACCAGAGTTGAATCATGAAATAATAAAAGAACATGAGCCCAAAAAAAAGCTTAAAAAAACAACACATTGTTTGATTATTTTTTCATATTAATCCTATAATTACCAGAGCAACTAATGTCCTAAATAGCAGTAATTACAAAAATGGGGGTATAATTAAATATTACTAAGGCCTGGTGTACACTTGCGTTATTTTAACGCAAAGACGCCATATTCAATGCACACTTAGCGACAAATAACGTCATACATACGTACTTCAGTACGACGTTGGAACGCAAACATAACACTTGCCATTTTGCAGTTTTCACTTTACTTATATTGTCAGTATGAATTCGACACAAGCAATGAAAATTTATAAAAGAAAACGTATTATTTTTGAGTACCTTGTGTACAAAAAAATATGTTTTAAAAAATTAAAGGCGTTATTGGGTCACCCATTTACTAATTTAAGACTTACTAAAGGTATATTTTATACAATATACGTCTTTTGAAAACTTACGAGAAAACCCGGATACATTTTTTAACTACTTTCGGATGAGTATAAAATCTTTTGACGAGCTTGCCGTTCAATTTCAATGAAGATTAAGTCAACAGATACACATTTGAGATTGTCTATACCTCCACTGGAAATGTTAGCTGTTACTCTGAGGTAAGTAATTTTTGAATTTTCTGTTTTTAGTTTTTATTTTAAGACGGATAATATATTAATATATTAATATCTGTTTGTATCAATTGTCTAATTGATACAAACAGATACAAAAAAAAAATTTTAATAAACTAATAAATTTGAACACAATTTTAAAATTAACACAAAACATGATTAACAAGCTTTAGGTCCATCCCTAAAAATTTCAATACTGTCTTCTTCGCTATATGCCTGATTGTCCATAGTTGTGGAAGACGAGGCTGATGGAGATATTGTGTTAAAATGCATGGTCGGACTTTGTGGTTGAGGCAATGAAGTAGTTAGACGTGTTTGAGAATGTATGGGAAATTGATGATGATTTAAGTAATTGGAATGGTGAGGTGAAGGATACAAAGGACCGGATACAAATTGTGTAGGTTTATAGTATGGAACGTTAGAAGAATATTCATGATTCTGTGTAGCTGGTGGATTTTTAAAACTTCACAACGAAATTCCAGCTTTTGATCTTCAGTAAAATTACTGATAGATGGTAGGATACTTTCAGAAAATGATCCGTCTGGATTAATTTCTGAAACGGCTGGTACAATCTGGGAAGGAATTGGTGCATTCATAAAATCAATTAGAGAAGTATCGAAGTCATGTTTACGTTTTTTGGTTGAGTTTTGGGTATAGGTAGGAGGAGTTTCAAACTCTTTTTGCTGTGGTGTTATTTGTTCAGACTCACTCAACTCTTCTTGTTCACCACCTAAACTGCACTGCGTTTCTGTTGTAGCACCAGCAGTTTGCAAAAACGATAACTGTCGAGCATAAACATACCGTTTACTTATTTCAGCAGTCTGGACAGATTTTAATTTTTTTTTTTTCACAATTTGTGTAGGTGTCCTTGATATTCTTCCACTTTTGTATAAATGTATTGCCTAAAATGGAAAGGATGCAAATAAATTTTAAATAATTAAAAATAAAAAAAATTAAGAAAAGCGGGGAGAAAATGTCCGCATCCATAAATTTGTCGGGGGGGGGGGGAATTTCCTACTACGCCGAAAACAGCCGGGGGGGGGAGGGAATGTCTGGTTACCCAATAAATTATTGTTTGTTATTTATTATTATTATTACCTATATTTTGTATAATATTTTCGGAATCGCTGTAAAAAAGTCCGAAGTAAAAAATTCCTGTATAATATGTTACATCCATAACTTTTGTATGCTTTTCAACTTTTTCATAGGTATTTGGGTAGTGGATGTGATCAGATCGATTTTTTTACGATGCTACTTTCATCTAGAAAAAAATATTTATTTCAATAAGGGGCAAATTTTGGCAACTTACAAATTAAATAATTCATAGTGTGCATATAAATGCATTAACTAAAAAAAAATTCCCATTTCTAAGAACCTCTAAAAAAATGTCTACAAAATGAAGTAAAGTGGAATTTTTTTAGATTGATGATACCTGTGCATTTTTATTACGATATATAAACTAATTAGTACTTAGAACAAATGTAACTTACTTATGTCTGTTGGTTGATCCATTTTTGATTTTGCAAGAAACAATTACAATTTTACTCATGAAATAATGACAATGAATACTCTAAATTGAAATTTTTACCGTATAAACTATTGAGTTATATCCTTCAACAGAAATGGCACCAATAGTGGTAATAGAGACAGCTGTACCAGAATCCACCGGAAATTTCGTCGAAAAAGGTGACATCATTAACTATATAATATAATGAATAATAGTTTTAGTCAAAAAACTATAATAACTTATTGATATTGATTTCTTAGTTGTATCCAAATGCAAATGGGTTAGAGTCAAGCGCTTGGCGTATTTTCCAAAGCCACCCGCTAAGAGTATAATGATTTTTTAATTTAATGTTTGGCCTTTCCTGTGTAATAATGTAAAATGTGTAATGCAATATTTAAATTAAACTGTACATGATACCTGATACCTCAGCGCGGCTGAGTCGCTAACCTTTCCGTCAGATGGACGCTAAATTTCTTATCATCAAACGTAACGCTGAGGTATGTAGCCTAGGCTGTTGGTTTGATTTTAACTCAACCAAGTCGGAGATCCAAGTTAGGACAAGACAGGTTTCTCTTCAACCATTGTGTCTGCGACTTGGTCGTGGAGAAGGTGAGTTTACGCTGTTCGGTCCATGTGACACTGGACTGAGTTATTCGTTTCCACGACTTACTGTAGCTGTTTGATCTAAAATCTGCATGACAGCTTGGTGGCCATCCAGGTAACTTTTCATCAGTCCGACCAGCCCACTGTGGCAGCCAGCACTTCGCATGTCTTTAACTAGCTGAGCCCACCATAGACAGTCAGATGCGCCCGAAATGTCCAAGAAAACAAATAATTATTTTTCCGACCTGTTTCCCGTCCAGTTTAGTACGTGGTGCATTGCGTCGACCGTCGAGAGGTTTCTGGTAAAGGTTTCTGTCTCTAAGACACGTGCAGGGCCATGTCCGCTCGAATCCTGTCTATAATAATGTAACGAGCTGTGACTACGTATATATTAATAATAGTAATAAATAATAATATATAAAATATTACATTGTATTAGGTAAAGTACGATTGTAATATATATATATATATTATGTTCAACAATAGACGTAAATGCTACAGGGAGCGCGTAATAGTAATTATATTAGCATCCGAGCGGTTGCATTAAAGAGAACTAATTAATAACGGCCACATCAATAAGAACACGTGATGAATCAGATACAAAATGAAGAAGGTATCACAAAGCAATTGGGTACAACAATCACCCAATCCAATATTGTCACCACTGACAATGAATCGCACGTAAACGCCACAATTGTTGAAGAAATCACCGAAATTAATAATCTAAGGGATGTAACAGAATCTAAAGAATCTATAAGGTCAACTACAATATGCAATGAACCAACTAATAGAAACGGGTTAGAATCAAAATATAATATATATATGAAGTATTATAATGGGAATAGTAATATTTGTCATGATTATATCAGCAATTAATATAGCACGATATTATAAATTGGTAGAAAGAAATAGATTTAATTATTTAAATACAATAAATCTTACTTCGTATAAATCTCATGATGATATAGATCTCGCAGAAACACAATTATAAATAAAATTATTCCAAAATCTCCAGTAATTGAAGTTATTGTGAAACATGGTTACACGACTCTGTACTGGACAATTATCAAAATCAACATGGGAACTTAATAAGAATAGATCTAGAATTAATTGGGGAATATAATTATACAGGGTGATTCTTTTATCATTGAACACTCATTATTTCAAAAAGTATTAATGTTTAAGAAAATATTTTTTTACATAGTTTCAAGTTGTTAAAAAACAATATTTTTATTAAAAAATAAAATATTAGAGTTATAAGTATTTAAAGTTTAGATGAGCGGAGTAGAGTGGTACGGGGTTACCCCGCGAAATGTTTGTCCACTACTCCGCTCATCTAAACTTTAAATACTTATAACTCATAAACTAATTGCCCTAAATTCAATTTTTATGTAGCGAAATACTCAGAAAAATATTCTGTTTTTGAATATCAAATTAAAATTACATGTTGTCATTCAAAAAAGTAAAAAACTTAAAAAATTAAAAGGATAAAAAATATTTAAAAATATAATTTTTTAATAAAAATATTGTTTTTTAACAACTTGAAACTATGTAAAAAATATTTTCTTAAACATTAATACTTTTTGAAATAATGAGTGTTCAATGATAAAAATATCACCCTGTACATATATTAGTTATAAATATTACAAATTACTGTCATTGTTAAATATATAGAAGTTGACATGAACATGGTTACATGACCTTTAGTAAAACTATAACCAGATGACATGAAAACGGAAGGTAACAAACAGATAATATAATTATAAGAAATCATAATAATAAATTGTTATGATGAATTTGAATTATTTCTTATGTAGGTTGTTATGCGTCTCTACCATTCAAGGGCAACTTCCGTACTTAAATGAAGAATTTAAGAATGAGACAGCTATATTTTTCGAAAATCAGGGCGAGTTAAGGATTGTAGGAGCACACTGGGAACTTGTAACTTATGTACCTTTAACTAATTATGATAAACGGTTTGATCAATTATTAAAGAAATTAGTAATATGTCCCATAACTGTAAGAATATAATATCTGAATATGAAGTATGCACAAGATTCGCACATGTAGTAAAAACCATGTTTAAAGAAATAGCGACGCAACGAGAACAAATGCATGAATCTATTGGTAGATACGTAAGCACTGATAATAAAATGTCCACGGTTGACAGGAAAAGACGAGGGCTCATAAACACTATAGGTAGTGCTATGAAAACGTTATTTGGAGTATGCGACGATGATTGCACCAAAGAAACTAATAATAAAATTGAAAAAATTGAAACCAGCAATGAAAATATGTTACATATCTTAAAGAGTCAAACCACTGTAGTCAAATCGGTAGTATAAGGAATAGGAAACACATCCACTGAAATGAATAAATTATATGAGGAATTAGTAAACAAACAGGGTGAAATCTATAAGAAACTAAAAACAGCAGACAATCATACATACACTATCGAAACAATGATGCTTAGTGACAGAATACACAACATTTTCACTGCATTAATCACACAATTCTCCTACGAAACCACGACTTTAAGTGCCATAATAACAGCTGCCAGAACAGGAATATTACACCCAAGTCTAGTAACCCCTAGGGAACTGGCTAAACAACTAACTCAAATCAAATTAAATTTACCTGTTAGTCGAAATTTGCCTATGGGGTCAAAACCAAATGAAATTTATGAATTAAGTAAAATAACTAAAATGGCCGTGTACTATAGTAGGAACCAAATTGTTTTCTTAATAAAAATTCCTTTAGTAATTGAATTAGAATTAACGTTATTCAAAATAATACCTATTCCGCATAGATTTGATTTACATCATAGTGTAATTCTAAAACCCGAATTCCAGTATGTAGGAATAACCAGAAATAGGAAACAGTTCACAACATTCACTGAAACCCAATTGTTGAGTTGTACAGAAACTGAGATTTTTATCATATGTCCAGAATTCCAACCCGTACAACATGAATCGGTTAGACAACCGTGTGAAGTTTCGTTATTCAAAAATCCGGATGAGTTACCTAGTAACTGTGAGGCAGGAATTACAGTTATTACTAAAAATATTTATCATAAATTGAAATATGCCAACACATGGATTTACACTACTACTAGTGACACATTGACCATAACGTGTCAAGGCGAACAAGAACCTTACATAGTGAAACTACAAAATCAAGGGTTAATTAATCTAAAACAGGAATGTAGAGCTTTTGCCAATGACATAGTCTTAAATCCCACCAGGGAGGTTAAGTCAAAATATTATATAAATTTCATACCCAAATTAGGTATAGGAAGCTTGACATTAAAAATCCCACAACTCGATGCCATAACAATACCAAAGTACACACAAAAACATGATTTATTAAAATTAGATAATGTACATGAGTTAGCTCATTCATTGAGTGACATACTGACATCCAATCAATGATAGACCAAGAAATAGATAGGTGGAGTGGAAACGCAGAAGACACTAAATATTATAT